GGAGTTTGAATGTTGTGATATCTTAGGATTTCCTCAGAGACTAGGTTGAAATATTGTCTTAATAAAAACATACAAAGCACAGTGGTTGGAAAGTGCATGTTTTACCTTCAGAGGCACTTTGCTTCCTATTTCAGGCCTTGCAAACTGATAGAAAGACCTGTGTTCCAGAAGGTGCATCAAGATTGCTTAAATAATAAGATTGTTTTATCATATGTTAAAATTTCTTATGTCCTGGCAACTCCTTCTAATTCCTCTTACATTGTATCTGCATTGCACTGAAATGTGCCTTTTTAAAGCCTTTTTCTGCCTCTTTCATTAATAGTAAAATGTTTTCAGTGCCAGTGTGTTGTACGGCCAAATTCAGTAAAATCTAACTGCCTTTTTCCTCTGGGTGCAAGTTTCTCATCTTCTTGTGCAAGTATTGAAAGGAGAAAATTGAAGCTTTGTGATGCACAGGGGTGCAAACAGAATGAGTCCTCTAGGCCCGAGTTAAATTAGCAGCTGCCATCTCCTCTTTCATAATCTGCCCAAAGCTTTTGTAAATGAGAATAGAGTTTCTCAATGAAGGATTGGGGCTCTTTATTTGTTGTTTTTTTTTTAATATATTTTTGTGTATTTTTAAATATACTTCAATGCCATCATCTAAACTTTGTTGGGCAAATGGTTGAAGAAACAAAAAACTCAGCAGCATTTGGTTACCTGTTACCAAAGCATCACTAAGGAACCTTTTTTTCTGTTTTGTGACATAAGTCTGCATTCATTAACTGGTATTTTGTGGTGATGGCTTCTGACCAGTGGATGATGCAAGTAAACAGTTCAGTGGATCTGGTTGCAATGACAGGCAGTATCTAATACCAGGGACAGAAAAGCACAAACCAGGGATCTCCACCTGCACCCCACATTTTCCCCTCCTGCCATTGGGGCTTCCTCTTCCCTCTGAGAATATTTATTTATATATGTGAGCACTTACACCATCCTGCTTCTGCTTTGGTCACAGGGAGCTTCACAGTCGTCCCTTGGTTTCATCTGGGTCTTACTAAAGTTGTGTTCAGTGTCAGGAATTCTGAACCTTTGTGATTTTAAGGAACAATCTGTAGAAAAAGTGAATGTACAGATTGCTCATGTTTTGCAGTGGGGACAGGAGAAGCCCAGAGTTCTCTGATGTCATTACAGTGACCTATTATGCAGTTCCAAAAAGCAGAAACTCACAGAGGTCTTCTCTTTGCATTTCCCCTTTTATGTCTTTAATTTTTTGGCTGTACTTCAAATGAAAATATTCTTTTCCATTCCATCTGCCATTACTTATTTTATATCTTAGCAGGTTTTTCTGTTGCTGTGCAGTTTTATTTATGTAGGCCTTTGCCTGGGTCAGTTGTCAGAGAATTTTCTTTACATATCTATTTCTCATGTCTTCAGGATTTAGGGACATTTGCTGGAATGTCCCTAAATGGACATTTACATGATTAGGTTTAAAGCTGCTTGTAGAGAGGAGGGGAATTTGGGATCCAAACTCCAGATGTTGTGGGCAGTTTCTAGTGGTAATATCTCCCACAATCTTCAATGTGCCAGGTGCAGGAAATTCCTTCCACCAGGGCAAGGCCCCACCAAATGAGATATTTGTAATTTCAAGTTGCTTCTGGAGTTTCCTGAGGGTAAGCAATTAAGAATCTATTGTTAAAAATCTTTTAAGTAATGTCTTAATTTTTCTTCTCTGGAGTTCAAAGGTCATCATGGAAGCTGATGCTCTTGCTTCTGATAGTTAGAAGTACAGGAAGGGAATGAGCAGACAAAATGGGATGTGTAAGATTCAGAGCCTGGACTGCAGTCTGCCTTTGGGAGACATGTGACATTGTGATAAAAGCAGGTGGAAGGGGAATAAAATTAGTAAGTGTTCATGTGCTTTCACAAAGGCCAAATGGGATCCCTGTGAAATCATCTGGACAGGGAATTGAAGCAGTGGTGGGTTTGGTTTTTTAAAGATCTGGTCTTTAAAAATCCACAGGGACTGGAGTTATCCCAGTGCAGTTCCAGGTCAGACTGGTGACAGCTGTGATCTGACAAAGAGGTCCCCAAAGAGGGGAAGAGGTTTGGAGTGGTTGGTGGGACCTTGGTTGGAGGTCCTGGATCCTCCACTCCCCCCAGCACTCCCTGGCATCTCCTCACCTGCTGTTCTTGAGGAGGAGGGAAGGGACCATGAAATCCACTGAAATCTGAGGTGACCGTTTCTGGGAAGGTATAACCAGAAATATTCCTGTTTTAAATTGAATTTAAAAACCAGATTCAGTTACTGTTCAGGGCAGTGAATAGATTTAAGTTCCAGGTCCATTCTGAATTGTTGTTCTTTGAGAACTTGAGGAATATTTTCCATGTGATTCCTAACAAGCTCTGTTGCACAGGGTCCCTGCTTTCTCCACGTGTACAATTCTGAGGTGTGTCTTGGAGTTCTTCTGCTCTGAGTAGTGAAGGAAAAATAGGGTCTGAAGCCTGTCTTTTCTTTAGAAATCTTATTTTATCATTTTGGTGTTTGGTTTGACAAATCACTGGTCAGTCAGTCCTTCTGAAGGCTCTCATGGCAATGCTGGGAAATAACATTCTTGCTTGGAGTACACCATTTTTATCACAGAGCAAAATAATTGCATGTTCCATAGAAGTATTTTTATCTAGACAGTAACTGGTGAAAATATTTATTTTCCTCAATGAAGTCTCACTTCTTCTTTTCCTTCAAAGTTCCTGATTTCCATACTAGCTCGCTTCATTCTTGTTGCACTTTTAAATTGGCACAGCATTGGCTCTTCATGATTGATTTGGGAAACCAGGCAGCCAGAATTAATCAGAAGGTGTTTGGAAGGTGCACAGGGTAATTTCCCAAGCCTACCTTACTATTTCCCTGAGTGCTTTGGATAACAGGGCCAGCAGCCAACATGACTTTGTTCTTGGGCCTGGCATGGAATATACGTTGTGTGCAACATCCTGGATGATGAAAACCCAGCATCTCCTGTGCTTGTCCTGTAATGCACAACTCCTTACCCTGGCTTCCTGCAGCTTATCTAAAAACCACATTTCTTCCTGTGTCTTGGTTTTTTGATGTTTTCCATATAAAGGCCAGGGAGTCCTTCTTGCTGTTAAAAAAGATCTGTGATGACTTTCACTCCTCTTGCTGTTTTGAGGCTGTTTAAATGTGTAGATGTATGAAATATTATTTTTAAATAACCCTAAATGAGGGAAGGTGCTATTTTACAACTAATTTTGTTCCTGTTAAGGATCTCCAGGAGGGACATACCCTTGGTTTGGGGAATACATGTAGGAATGACCCTGGTTTAACATTGTACTGATGGCATCACATCAGGGGTACAGGCAGAGTGAAGAGACATCTGTCATGCTCCAGTGTTGGTGAAAATCAGAGGGAGGAATAAAAACATCAGTCAAAAACTATGCATAGGGGTTTCTGACTTTATTACCAGTTATTTAGGTGGAAAAAAGACTAAATGTGATCATTCCATACTTTGTGCTGAAAATGAAAGGCCTTGGGAATGGCCTTTGATTAAGTGATTAAATTATGCCCCAGTATAACCAAAAGTGGCCTTTTGGTTCTAAGCCCTCTGAAATATGACCCCTGTCTGAAAACCTAGTGTATAAAATGTACATGTGTTCTAATTCTTGCCCAATTACAGTGTTAGAAAACTCAATTGCAAATAAAGTCTGAACGTGGTTTTTCCTGACGTGTCAGGATTTCAACCTAAGTCTGTGGTCTGAAATTCAAGCTGTGTCTTTGCTTATTAAATCACCAGTGAGTTAGTGGGAAAATCAGTAGGACAGATACATGCTTTGTTGCCCTATTATTTCTAAATTATGGACTGGCTTTTTTTTTCTTTTTAAGCAGCCATGAAATACTGTTGCTAGACTGAGTGGTGGAACTGAGGACATCCTTCATCAGGCAGTCTGCAGATTAAATGTATGCAGAGTGAGAGAACAGGGGAAATAAATATCATTATGGTTTGTGGGGGAGTAGTATAAAATAAATCTTTTTGTTGGTGAAACCACACTGTATGGTTAGAAAATACCAAAGAGTTTGTCTTCTGTGAGAGAATGCCAGTTTGAATTAAAGCTGGTTTTAATACAGCCCTGTGATTTGTTTGGGTATTTGTAGCTGAAAGAGCTGACTCCACCATGCAGGGGCTGTACTGGGTATCATTCTGGGGATATTGTAAGAATATTGTGACATTAGCATTGTATTCATAAGGATGAATTTGGGATCACTAGGGAATAAATGTGTTCTCTACCCCAAGGTGCTTTCTTCTGTGATTTACTGTGTGTTTGCCCCTTGACATATGCTCTGGTTTAATTCACCTGAGAAGAAACAGAAATATTTGCAGTGAAAGCATCACCTCTGGCATCATCCAGCCTTCAAAAGGAACTTGGTTGAATTTTCCTGCCAAAACAACAAGTAGAAATTTTGGGTAATACAAGTTGTGCTGGTCAGTTCAGATTTTATTGTGGAATTCTGTGGTTTTAAGCCCTTCATGCTTCTGAATGTCCATGTGCTGGTAATTTGAATGGGGCAGATATGAAACTCATTGTGGCTTTTAGAGCCTTTTCTGTAACACCTGACACCACCCAGAGGGGAGAAATCTGTGGCATGAAGTGAAGAATGTCTTCCATGACATATATATCTATATCTATATATATCTATTTCCTGGAGATAATCTCTGGGGGTATTGGTTTGTTTGGGTTTTGCTCACCCCTCCCAGTGGTCAGAGGGGTTTTACCTACACCCTGTGCCCCACTTCTAATCAGAGCACCCCTTGCTCCTGCTGATGTTTTATTGGTTTTGTTTTTATTTAGGTTTTATAGTTGTTTTTTCAAGCCTAAAATATCTTTTACAACACCAATTGCTCAGTTTCAGTGAGGAAGTGAAATAATCAAATAGTCTCTTCCCCACCCTCCACAAAAACTGGGGAAATCCAGTTGAGCAATTAGGAGAAGTGAGGATCTTTAGATATGCTTAATTTTTTAACTTTGCAGTGGAAATAATCTCTGGAATTAAAGCCTTTGGACCTTAACTGAGTGGATACATGTGCTGCTTGAATAATTATGCTTCACCTTGGGCTGGAGGACCTGATTGGATACAAGAGGTAAAAGTAAATGGGGGAGAGGGGAAGTTTATTTTCTGCCTGTATTACTAAATAAATAAGCTTAATTTTTAGAATAAAACCTAATATCCTGTGAAATAGAAAGGCTCTGACAGAGGCAGTGATGTTGGGTTCCTGGTAATCACATGAAGGCTTTTGGCTTTTCTGTTCCTGAGCTTTCTGCGTGATTGTTTCTGGAAAATATAAAATCTTTATAAGTTCTGCTGCTCAATTCTGCTTATTTTGCCTTTTTATTCATAACTTTTTAAGTGGAAGATTTGTGTGCTTGGTGGGAAAGAGCCATTAAAGAGAAGAGATTAATAATCTGAAAATAGGTGAAGTTTCTCAAAAGGGAAGCACCAGGGTGGATCATTTTAGATCAGGGTGAAGATACGAGTATTGCCTTCAGTTGTTGCCATAAACTGGTTTTCCTTTTTGCTTTTTTTGCTTATTAAAATAAAGTCTTCATTTCCAAGTCTTTAACAAAAGCTGCTCATGATTGAAACTGCCAGGAGTGTTTATAGTGTATTTGATGACAAAGCAATTCTAACAACAAATTAGGTGTAAAATAATTTTTGTATATGTTTTGCAGTTTGTAAGGCCATACTTTCACATTATTTAAATTGTGTGTATGGGGAAACCCTCATTTACCTTTTCATCTGCCTCACAATTGGTAGGAAAAGAAAATAGGAATGAACTTTTTTCCCCTCCATCTCTTACAGCTGTCCATGAGCACAGAGAGGAACCACCTTCCCCTGCCCTTCCAAGTTAATTTTGGATACATCTTTTTCTTGCCCTTCGCCAACCAAGTTGTAATTTGAAAGATGTGTTCCTTTCTGTTCCTTTTGTGTCTCAAACTGCTTATTTGGCTTTTTTGTTGTTCTTTGTTCCTTCTTTTTGACCAGGCAAAAGCCTCCTGTGCTGTAAAAAGGAGCTGCTTGGATCAACGTTGTCTCCTTAAATTCTCTTTTTGTAACAGTCTGCCAAGGGATTCATGTTTTGACAACTGAGTGATTTTTCTCAACCTTTTCTTACACAAGACAATAGACTTCTTTTTTCTTCCTATTTAAAAGCCTTTAGTTGTCTTACCTACAGGTGTGACATAATAATGTGAATCTCATTTTTATGTGAGTAGACCCATCTGTTCCAAGAGTTCTTTTATATTTTAAAGGTTAAGCTATATCGATATAGTCATTAGCAATATGAGGGTTTTTTATTGATGTAGTTTATACAACCCACTTAGCAGAAGTGGGGCTTTATGTCTATGAAGAAGTTGAAGATATTTCTTCAGAAAAGTGGCATCAGCATCACTCATCACAGCAGGGAATGTTGTGGGTTGGCTGATTTGTTCTAGGGAACTTGCAGTGAGTAGTCACAGTGCCCCAAAAACTATTTATAGGGAGGAAAAATTAAAAGTAATAATGAACAAAGCAAACACAGCTGTTGGTTTTTCAGAGATTGTTAACTAACTGAGTAAGCAGATGTGGGGTTTTTTATTGCCATGTGCAGTTTGTGATGCTTGCACTCTGCACAGAAACTACTGTGATGTCATAAAGAATAATTCATTATTACTGAAAGATTAAATAGGAGCAATGAAATCCTAAGTAGGGAATCCACTGACCCCATTCCCCCCAGGTTTTTAGAGTAATTATTTTAATTGAGGAGAGAGGATAGAAAATGCAAATCCATTACTTCATATTTTCTCCCCTACTATGGAAAGCCTTCTTTGGTAGGTTTGAATCTTACTCTTGTGTAGGGTAAAAGGTCACAAGTCTTTATAACAGGTTGGTCAATCAGACTTAAATTGTTACATTTTAATCTGCTAAGCTCATTAGAGAAACAACTCTGTGTCGCTGTAGTTAAGTTTGTCACAAGTTTCAGTGGAACCTCTCCTGCAGTCAGCAGTGGTGGATGTTAGTAATTTCAAACTTGAATTTAGCAGAAAAATGGTATTGCTCCAGATTTCAATTACTTAAAAGATGTGTTTTTCTATTTTTTTAAAGAACTCAAGAGAATTTAATGAAGTTTTTAGTGTCACAGTCTTTCAGTACAGGAGACCTGTCCTCTGTTCCCAAGGCAGATGGATTTGGACACTAAAGTTTCTTTTTTTTCAGGAGATATATGCATTTACATCAATTCCTTGGGTACTCAGCTTTCCATCAGGGCTTATATGTTAAAACAGAATGTTTTTATGGATATGAGATCTCTCACATGATCTTTATCAAAAGGTCACAAACTGAATAGCAAAATTCAGCTGAAAGGCTTTTGTGCTGTGATATAAAAATATAAGCAATGCCAAAACACACTCTTGGATGCTTTAATGGAATATAAAATGCTAGTGCTCTGATTAATAGGTTAAAAACCTTTATTTCAAGACAGCCAAGGGCAAAGAAAAGTTCTTTAAAATAGTAGTGGTCTTCTGCAGGCACTTGTTAGCCAGAGTGCTTTCCCTTCAGCTGTTTCACATTGTTTTTCCAGTAATGATTCATTTTGCAAGTCATGTAAGCAAGAAGGGATGTGAAAATAAAGACTCTGGAGTTTCTATTTTGTGTATTGATTTACTTTATTTTATTTACCTTAATTGAAGCCTTAATTCTTTAAATACTTGCTAGCCGTGATACAGCTCCTGTACATGATGGAGATGTATTTATTATGAAGCCATGTATGCTGAAGATAATTTCCCCTTTCTGGTAACAACATATGGAGCAGGATGAGGACAATTCTGTCAGTAGAATTATTCAGTAAAAAGGGTTCTTCTGCATCACTCAGAGGAGGTTTGGGTTCTCAAGAAACACATATGCTGTTTGTCCAGTAGAGCTGAGAACATGTCTGATTTCTGCAAGGAGAAGGCAGTATCTGTCTCTAGGGTAGAGGAGAAAAGGGTGCTGAGCACATTTATGGTTCCAGTATATGGGGAAGATAGAACTGTACATAAATTGGATTCAAATTTGCAGAAGAAATAAGGCTGGAAGAGCTGGTTTTGCTATGAGCAAAATGGTTGCGAGAGCGTGCAACCTCCCCAAGCAAATTTCTTCCTCTGTGTTACAAAATTTACCACAGTTTTGATGTGTTGCTGAATTCAGTTTGCATTTGCGTAGCTTTTCTTGTTTTTATCTTTGTCATTCTTTAATCTTTTTTCTTCTAATTTTCATACTCATTTCTGTATTTTCTGATTCTTCAACAGTTATATATTCCTGTCCCCAGACTTCCTCCTTTCTCAAGTGTGTTGTTGAACTGGGTGTCGTGCACTGATGTGGATTTTGAACGCTCCCATTCCTTTTCCAGCATCTGTCCTTTCATCTTCTCTGCTTTTGTTTGGATTGTGAATATCATGTAATAAGGAGGGGAGATATTTACAAGTAATTACAAGCAGGGTATTATGTAGAGCTCTGGGTCGGTGGATCTGGCCTGCTGAATAATGAGATTGGATGGGGAGATCAAAACATTCCTGAGTCACTAAATTGGAATTGCAACAGAAACTGAGGGAGTGAACCCCTGGGAGGTGCTGGGCTGGCTCAGTGCTGGCAGGGAGGATGCACTGGGGAAGGGAGGATGAGAAGTACCTGGCATGGGTTTCTCATGTACTTTGATTTTTACAAGAAGCAGTTTCCTTGGGAATTTATTTTTGTCTTGTTTGGTTATTTTCAGCTGTAAATCAGGCTGCCTGCTCTTAATGAAAGTTGGTATTGGCATAGCTGTGAGACTGAAGGAAATATTGCTGCGTGCATCCAGATTAAGACAACACTTGACTGTGTATTTTGAGTCTCTACATGGCTGGTTATTATATACAAGTGCTGTAAAAAATACTAACTTTTCTGCTGATGGAGTTTTGATGAGGCCTGGGCCAGGATCTTATATTTGAACCCTCTATCCACACATCATAGTCTGATATTTACATCATTATATGCCCAGTTCTGACCTTAGCAGGGTAGCTCATTTTTTCAAAGCACATTTGCTTCCAAATTACATTTGGACTTTGGTTTTTTCCCCTGTTCTACTCATATTATTTCCATAAATTGAACGTAGTTTGCCTGTCAACATACTTGGATCTGGGCTTGCTGTCTGAAACAGAATGAGTGGCACAATTAGAGGTGGTCTTCATCTGAGTAGGGAATAATAATTCTGGTTGCCAACACCATTAACAATCTGCAGCTTTCTATAAATGCTTAAATAATATTCTTGTGGATTATTTTTAATAAAGAAAGCTGTGGGCAGAGAACCTGGGAGCTTCTATAGCTTCACAAAATAGCACATTTTTCCTTGGGGAGTTAGTCCAGCCCCTAGTATTACACAGGCTCTGAGTGGGAAAGTTTAACTCCCTGCCTTTCTTTATTCAGAAAAAGTCCTTTGCTGGTTCCTATCAAAGGAACTAAACAGATCCATTAACAATAAGCTGATTATTGAGTTGTTGCTTGGTTCATTCATACCCACTTGCTGGATCAAGCAGCTTCTTACAGATGGCACCAAGCAACTGCTGTGGGCAGCAATGCCAGCAGCTCCCTGGGTGTATTCCCAACATCTCTGTTTGCCATGCTGGAACCTTCCAGCCCATGAAAGGCATAATTATTAATTCAATGAGGAGTTTATTTCTCAAGTGCATTCAGGGCCTGTTCTCTGAGAGCTGTTGAAAGGGTTTGTATGACAATTAAGTGATGACTTGCCAGGTAAAAGCTGCTCTGAAGTTCCGCTCACGAGGTTTAAATTGTTCAGTCATCTAATGCATAAATGACTTTGTGATTGGTGATGTGGGTTAGATGTGTCCTGCACCTGCTTAATCAGAAAGGCATTTTAATCTGTTGCTGTGAGTTTCCCTGCATTTTTCCATAGCACTATGTAGCATTTCCTGGGCTGTTCTTGCCCCTTTGCTCTGGTATTTCCGTGGGATGGCTGATCTGGAGCTTGACTGCTGAGAGACCAAGTGTGTGCTGCTGGGTCATCTCAGGTTCTCTCCCTCCTTGTACACCAGAATGAGACTGGTTTTCATCTGCATCAGGATGAGAGAATCCAAACTGGATGACACCATGGTTTTCTTGATGGAAATGTGTCCTGGCAGGAGGAGCTGGTGCTGCTCCCCAGAGCAGGCTGTGCCTTCTGCTCCAGTGCTGGAGCTTGGGCTCTGCTGTGTTGGCTAAGCTGCTTTACAGTCTCTCTCTAACAGCACAACAGATTAGCAAGACTTGAAAAACATGCTTCTCATGTTCTCAGTACATATATTCACAAAGGCCTAAGTTGAAAAAGCCCAAAGCCTTAAACAGATAATGGTTATTAGAGTTTCCATGCAACTGGGTAGGTGTGTGTCTTTCTCATGATGAAAGTTGGAGAGAAGAGACTGAAGCTCTGGTTCAAACTTGATTCTGTGCTTTTAAATATTTGTCATTTATTTCGACAGTTTATCAATTCTTAAGACAAATATTTACATTGCGGGGACTTGTTTGGTACTTGTGGTATAAATATTTATAAAACACTTCTGTGTTTTTACTGCCCAGTAATGTGATAATAATTTATCAATGAATCCACAACTTCAGAATTGGTGGACAACTAATTTGCTTTTGTTTTGTCTTTAGGAGAATCAGTTTTAGCAGTGTGTGAAGCTTGCTATCACTTACCTTAGAATATTCAAAATAGACACCAGGTGAGTTCTGGATTTTTTTATTTCTTGTATCTCATTTAAATGCAAAATATTGCTGAGGAAACAAAGTTTCCTACAAGAATCTCTTACTACTTCAGGAAGCCAAGGCAAACACACCTCATATTTTTGTGGTAACACAATCTTGTGTATGCTTCTCTCATCTCCCCTTTAATTTTTTTTTTCTCCCTTGAAAAATACCAGATTGTGAGGACAACTCTCAGTGACTCTGAGACAGATGGACAGGATGTGGAGGCCAGTGGTGCTTTTTCCTTTCTGTGTCAAATCAATATTTACTGAAGTGCTTTCAGGCTTGTTATTTTTATTTAGACTTCTACTGATAAATACTGGTTGGTATAGAATAATTCAGTTTTAGATTAACACCTAAAGTTAGGTGTTAGTAATAGTTGATTTTCTGCACTGGAAATCTTTGCAAAGCTGGAATCTTAGCTTTAACCAACATTATATTTTACCACTTAGCAGCAATAATTTGTAGAATCCAAATCTTTCCTAAAATACTCAAGTGCTTCCTAAAGTCATATAATAAAATATCAACTAGACATTATTTTTATAAGAGCTGGCAAAACATCATTTCCAAACTGGACTCTTTAATCATCTTTTAATATGCTCTTAAAACTGTAATTGTAGAGGGCTTGACAGCATTCCTGATAGTTTGTGTTACAGACATGTGCAGGGTTGGGCTGGGCTGGGACAGAAGCATCTCCTCCTGTGCAGCACTTCCCTGAGTCTGTCTATCATTCCTTCTGGTTCTTACCTTCCCTTTTGGGGATTCCTCTGTTCCCTGTGTTACTGGTGATATTTTGGAAGACTGGGAGGATGTTGTGTGCTGGTTTTAACCAAACTCTTTTGCAAACTATCCATTAAGATTAATAACCTCCCATTATCCTGTGTCTAGTGGGTATCATTCACTGTGTCAGCAGGAGGTGGATTTTCTCCTTCACAGTGGGATTTCACTTTCTGGAACAGCTGTTTCCAACCAGATTCCCCACACTGTGTGCAGACAGTTCACTGTAATGCAGTTTTTACCTGTGTACAGGTCTGTGTGTTGGCACATCCATTCAGGGGGTGATTCCATTATTTTATTTAATTTTTAGGAACTTAAACTGAAGAGTATACAGGCATGGAGAAAATTAGAGTTCTGGAGATTGTGCTCCAGCTGGAGATCTTTAAAGCTAACCTTGTTTGGTGTCCTGTGCCCTTTTTGGTTTTGATCAGTGCAGGTGAACAGCCACAACTCCTTCCTGGAGCAGCCTTTCCTCCAGCAAGGAAATGCAAGGGACAGCAGTGCCTGTGTCACTTGCTCAGGGGGAGATGGGGAAAGTGGTAGTTGAGTTTACAGTTTCCAGAGGTTTGTTCTGGAATAAATACCCAGTGCTTTGGCCCTGGAGGGAGATGAGAAGAGCTGCTGTTATTCTGCTTCCAGGGGCTGATGACACCCACATATTGTGGCTGTTGTCCATGGAATGAGCCTTCCATCCCTTCATTTCAAGGTAGCCCTTCCTAGATCCAGCAGTGGTGGTTCAGTGTTGTCCCAAGCACCTGCTGTCTGTGTGAGCAGGGTCAGGACCTCCACCCTCCATTCTGCCACACAGCCCAGCAGGTTTTCTTAGAAAAATGTATCCCCCTTACTGCCAGCTTCCACTGAAATTCTTGCAGCATCTTGCAGCAGATCAGATGGAGTTTAATTCCTCCTTACCTGCTTCTGGCCACCAGATCTGCTGTCACCCTTTTCAGTGCAGACATTATTTGGGATGTTCTGTGAGTATTTAATTCCCTAAACTGGCGGAGAACTATTGATTTTTTTTCCCTTGGCTGTAATAACTCTTTGCTGTTTTAATGAGTTAAATACAACTTCCAAAAGGGTCAGCAGACCTGGCAGAAACTAAGGTATCACCAGTTTCATGAAACTTGATGGGGTTCTTTTGGGAAGCTGAAAAGCAAATTAGTGTTTCTAAGGTTGAATTTTCCAAGGATGTCCTTAGAAACATTAAGGCTGACTTCCATAAATAACCTGCCAGGTTTAATCTGAGTCTTTTCAGCAAGGTGGTGCTGAATGCAGTTGCCTGTTGTGGTAGAGCTGACTGAAGCAGGATATTGTGGTACTCAGATGGTTAAACACTCTGCTGGTTAATCCAGGAGATTACCTTTCTCCAGAGCCTTCCCAGGGAAACCTCTTCAGGGCATCCTGCTTGGTTAGAAAAGGGAGCAGATGGTTTGTGGCTGCTGAACACAACAGTTTTTAAAAATACAGGGCAGCTTTCAGGATTGTGAATTAGAGCCATAGAGCCACGTGTGAAAACAGCAGAAATGCTACCTGAGTTTAGGAAAATTGGAACTTAAATAACGTGCACCTTTACTGTCTGTTTGATATTTAAAAAGCCAAAGGTTACATTCCTAGTGATGATACTCCTCTGTTCCCTTAAGTAAAAAGCTTCTGAGATGAATTCCCATCCCTGCCTTGTCCTCCACTCTTCTGCCAAGGCCAATGTGTCCATTTCATACCAGTTTGGAGAAATAAATGTTAACATCCCATTAGACCAAGCTGTGGATCCCCAGCACTGTTCAGATGGAAGCAATTAAGGATGCAGCAGTGTGGAATTGTATCCCTGTGCCTGCAGACTGACTGCCTGGGTCAAACTGAATTCATTTTTATTAAACAAATTGGCCCTAATTGAGCAGTGCAGATTTTGTTAAGCAGAACATGGTGTATGGCTGTGATCTGCAGCATCTGTCACCAAGGCCACGCTGGATTGATGTTACAGGAAGCTTGTTATGCTTAAGTAGAGCTGCAGCTTTTAGCAAAAATGTCCATAATGCCCTGGAAGCTCCTGTTTGAAGCAGTACCATCTCCAGAAGGGCTAAATCAACATGTAAAATTCCAATCAGGATGCTTTTTTTTTCCCCCTCTCCTGACTCCTCAGGTCCCTGTCCAAGAGCAGTAGTGACAGACACTCCTTGGCAGGGAGCTGCTGGCAGGGACTGGTGTGCTGGAGCTGCAGGAGCTTCCTGGGAGGGTGGGAGGAAGGGATGATGGGCACAGAGCAGGAGGAGCTGAGCAGGGAGCCTGGGAAGCAGCAGGAGCAGGCTGCTGTGATTAGGTAGATTATCAGAGACACTCAGGATCATCAGTGTTTGACCTCAGCTCTGGGGCAGAGGGGGCTGGGAACTGCCTTTGGGAAAGGCTGGCCCAGAGGGTTTCTTTCCTGAAATATGGTTTTCCTTTCCCTGAGTCAGATTATGCCCCAATAAGTGAGTTGTTTGTGTTGTGTCTTGCAGCACTCAGTAATTTTCTTCCCATACAGAAAGCTTTTGGTACTGAACAGTGTCCTTGAAAAGAAAATATTTTCTCTCCCTACCCACGCATTCACCTTCCAGATTTGGGGTAGATTGAATTTTTAGCCAGAGAATTAGAGTTTGGACAAATTATTATTAATAGTAATCATTTATAGCATCCTATAGAAAGCATTCAATTAAACTGGGTAGAATTGCCAGAGGTTTCTTGAAGGTGATTAGATGAGAGTTTGGTTGAGCCAGTTTACTCCAGTGAAACAACTGGGCCTGGTGAGCAGTGTTAAATGGATGTAAAGGCAGGGAATCAACAGCAGGGTGATGTGTCTGTCCACGTCCTTGTCACTTGGTCCCCCTTGTGTGGGTGTGACAGTTCTCTTGTGCTGGGAGGAGCAGAGGTGTGGTCACAGCTCCTCCAGGCAGTGCAGGGGCTGAGGGCTGAGGGTGCTGCTTTCAGCCAGCCTTGTGAAAGCTGAGGTTATTAATTTGTTATATAAGACATAGGGTTAAATTAGAAAAGTCTGCTGCTTTAAATATCTTTTTCAAAGGCTGCATAATCTGGTGTGGGCTAATTGTAATGACATAATCCAAAAATAGCCAATAGTCTTTTCTTGGATGCTCATCCTGGCTGCAGTTCTGCAGCTAAAGAACAGCAAAGCTGATCTCCTCAGGGTGGGAGAGGGCAGAACCAGATCTGGACCTGGCATGGCACAGGGGACACCTCTGGGGTCTGTCACATTTGGATCTGGAGCAGGAGGTTAATCCATGCTCAAGTAGCCTGATTTTAAATAGAATGCATGTTAAATGTTGGATCCATAACTTTAAATTATAAGAGAGGGGATCTCCTCTCTGGGCAGACATTCCCTCTTTGCTTGTGGAATGCACAGGGTTGGTCACACTGGATTTGTCCTATCTAAGGATTCTGTTTGACCTGGTGCTGGTGATAAGATGGGAGACTGGAATTTGGGAGTTGTGGGGAAGGTTGGTTTTTTGGGTTTTTTAATGTAATTTCTGAAATAGAAAATACAAATAAAGTCAATTACTCCTATGCTAATGTGGTGCAAAAAGGCAGCCTCAACAGCAACTTCTCTGTTGCCATGTGTTTTTTATAGGTATTATCACAAATAAATGATCTTAGTATTAAGACTAAGAAAGGAGATGAAGTGACTTGAGAGATGTGTTATGCAGTTCATAGCTATAGGTGCACCTCAGCTCTTGATTTGGGGTTTTTGGAAAGAGTTGAGTCTATACAGCAGGGATTCAGGGTGGCTGCTGTTGTGCCAACAATGTCATAGCTGTTTTCACTGAATTTTAAAACTTTTTACCTTCCATGCGTGTAAAGAACCTTTTCGAAACACATTTTATCAAAGCTGAATCTTGATGTGTAGATTCTGTTTTTGAGGACAGTTTGCTTAAAGAGGTCTGGTTTTTCCTTGGCTCAATAATTTCTTAATCTTTATATTTTTGCAGGGGCCAGTTCTCTCCTCAGGTTAGCTCAAGATGGCAGACCAGAGGCAACGCTCGCTCTCTACCTCTGGGGAGTCCTTGTACCACGTGCTGGGGCTGGACAAAAATGCCACTTCAGATGATATCAAAAAGTCTTACAGGTAAAGCTTTGAGTGTTACACCTGTCCCAGTAACACAGATGGCTTTAATTCAGTGTTCAGCAAATAGTCCATTTATGTAGGAGCCTCAGTTGGTTTATTTAGACCTTTTGCAAGAAAGATATGTGGGAAAAATAGGTGAAAATGTGGTTGCTTCTTGCAAAACAGGGTGTGAAAACATGCCTAGGCTTTAAATTTTTCCATCTTCTATCTAGTAAGTTAAATTCTAAAATGCAGTGTCATTCTGAAAGGTCCTTTCCTAAGTTTGAGCAGAATTTTAGGACTGTAATCAGAGTTAAAATTTTCCTGTTATGTAGCCTTTTGTCTATCTTAGGGGTACCACAGATGTGCAGAACTGCCCTGCTGTCCATCATTTCCACTTCTGGCACAGGGAGATGGAGATTAAAGATACAAATAAGGATGAAAACAGAGCATGAAGGATTAGTTTTTCCTGGAATTCTGTTCAAAAGTTCTTGTTTTTCTGTGGAGATATTAGTTGTAAAATATTATTTTTTTTCTGTATCTCTTTCCTTAAGAGTTGGACACATGAAATGGCTTCATACTTACCAAATAACAGCTACAAAAAAGGAGTTTTGTGACATCTTCCTTTCCCATAAATCTGCTTAAAGGCAATTGCTGCTGTGCTCAGTGGCAATGTGTTTGGATTACACTAGGGGTCAGCATCATCTTTCCATGAGGATACTCATTGTCAAATTTGTTTTCCTTTCGTCTCTAACTTTTACCAAGGCTTTTTCCCTTCCAAAGTTACATGATGGCAACTACATGGTGAAGTCTAGGAATAAGCCAGGTCCACAGAGTCTCAAAAATTAGCTTTATCTTCCTAAAAGCTTTAAGTGGAAGTTTGAATAGGTTATCTTCAAGCAACTGGAAAATAATTTTACTTTCCTGGGGAAAATACTGTGAGTTTTTCCTTCGGAGGAACAACCCTACAAGATCCTGGGGTGAAATGTAGCTGCTTCACACTTCCTTGAACCTTCAGCTGATCTTATTTCCTATGCTGCTCCTTCATCATGTTCAGTCTGAACATCCTTTGCTGGCCTGGGGCTGTGGGGTTTGTGTACATGTAGGAAATGGGAAATAAAAATATTTGATTATTGCAGCCTGACTAAGTCCTTTCCAGGTTTATAAAACTTGCTGTGATTATTTCAGCCCTCACTGAGGCTGGGGCACAAGTGGCAGCTGTGGACGTGATTTACTGGAGCAGCATCAGGCACAGTGGAGTGTCCCAGGGGCACACTCAGGCTGGTTTCTAAATGCTCTGAGATACTTGCAGGCACATCCAAGTGCTTGCACACATCTTTGTTTTATGTTTGTCTAAACGTTTCCCCACTGCAGAGCTGACATGTAATTGTCTGCAGACTCCTCCTGTCTTTCTCATATACGTGACTTTGTGGTCATTTTCTGTAGGAGGACAAGTACCTTTTGTGGTGCAGGAGAACTGCCAGCATGTGGCTCTGTGTCATTTTTCTACTTGGGAGCACGTATTTTCTCTGCATAAGGAGGTGTTTAGCCAGTTATTTCTACTGGTGTCTGTAAATAGCCTGGGCCATGTGAGAACTAGCACATTTATCAATGCTTTATCTGATTTTTTTGTTATTTGTAAGAGATCTGGCCTGATTCGGGGGGGGGTACATTGTGACTTCCTGATGTCTCGAAACTCAGAAGTGTTTTCTATTCTAGCAAAGCTTGAACTGAAAAGTACTTTGTTCCTGCACAGGAATTGGTGAATTAACCACAAGTGATGGTGTGTTCTATTTTTGTGTTCAGACACTGCAGAAACAGCAGTTCAGGCACTCTTCAAGCAGCTGTGGCAACTTGCTTTTATTTACTCTTCGGTGCTATACCTTAGACTTGTGGTGTGTCTTTTCTGTAGCAGGAGCAAAACTTACTGATGGAAATTGCTGGAGCTGAGGATAAAAAAACCCAAACCTATTTTTATTCAGTGTCTTTTTTTTTTTTTTTCCATTGGATTTCTGAGGGTCAAATCCAACAGTCTGAAGTCAGTCCTGTGAACTAAGCTAGACACTGCTGTAGCCTTTTATTATCATCTAAGGAAGAATCATCAGGGAAGTTGAATCACAGATGAAGGAAAACAGATGCAACTTAAAAGTCTCCCTTGAGTGGCAGGCTACAGAATTAGAAAAAAAATGAATCAAAAAAGCAGGAATCCAAACCCCAGGTTTTATTATCTTTTTTTCTTTCTGCAGGAAACTGGCATTGAAATATCATCCTGATAAAAACCCTGATAATCCAGAGGCAGCAGAAAAATTTAAAGAGATCAATAATGCCCACGCAATATTGACGGATGCCACAAAGCGGAACATTTACGATAAGTATGGGTCTCTGGGGCTCTATGTAGCCGAGCAGTTTGGTGAAGAAAATGTGAACACATACTTCGTGCTGTCCAGCTGGTGGGCAAAGGTAAATAAAAGGGCACAGGAGTTATTCTGGATTGGTATTGGAAACTCTTAGAGAGCTCCATTTGATAATTGTTCTTGGTTTTACCTTTGAAAATTGATGAATTTATGACACTGGGTTAATTAAACTTCTCTTACTGTATCGTGATCCTGAGCTCAGGAGTATTTTTCTAGGAACTTCTAGTGCGACAGGTCTAATAAGCAAGACCTGGGTTACTAATTGAAGCTTGGACTCTTCTAGTGGATTTAGAAGAGATAAGAATTTGGGGTGTATTCTCTGATAATATCTGGTCAATATTTTTGCAGAATGAGTCCTGACTGTGAACTTTGGCTTACAGAAAATCTCCTTGCATTTCCTTGCATGGGTCCATTTTTCTACCCTTTGCCAGCATTGCCTCCATCTCTTGATCCCCTAAGGAAGACAATAATTATATCACCATGCTGGTTTGCTATCTGTAAGATTATTTTTTTCAAACAATTGCACAGTGACCTATAGGAAGACTTTAATTTAGCCCATTGTCATTGTGATAAGCACCTGGCAGGCCTGGCTTGCATGGAGCTGCCCTGCTCACATGCTGGGAGCATCAATCCTCAGCCATGCCCACAGCCTTGGGCTGCTCCAAGTCCCTGCTGTAGGTACATCATGGCCTGTACATCAGCTCAGTCATTTCCAGGGTTATTTATGCAAGTTACAGCCTGTCCTGAACTGTTGTACCCCTGGATTTTAGTACAGATGTGCTTATTAGACCTGTACCTTCTTCCAGATGCAGCAAAATAGTCTACTTAACTTAAATGGTAGAAATTACTCAAGCAAACCAGGCTGGCAGTATTCACCTCAGTGTAAAATGTGGACAACCATAGCCACCTTTGCACATAATTTGAAGTATTTCTCAGTGATAAAGTACAAAGCTGTAGCTACCAAGTTCTGTCTCTGGACTGCTGTGGTTTTGCTCTCTGATTCTGTATTCAAGTCTCACAAACTCTGTGGTCATGGCACAGTAGACACAGGTTATGACTATTTCTGTGTTTTCTGTCCTCTGCAGGCCTTGTTTGTGTTCTGTGGGCTCATCACAGGCTGCTACTGCTGCTGCTGTCTGTGCTGCTGCTGTAATTGTTGCTGTGGGAAGTGTAAACCGAAACCTCCCGAAGGCGAGGAGCAGGAATTCTACGTCTCTCCAGAGGACTTGGAGGCACAGTTGCAGTCAGATGAAAGGGGTAGGTGAAAATGCTGTGAGCTCTCTAGAATGAACATCAGTCCCTGCTGGAGTGCTCAGTGAGCTGGTTGAGAAAAAATAAGGTCCTGGGGTGTGGATGATGAGCAGGGAATGTTTGTGCCACAAGTTACGTGGGTAATGCTGATACCAAAGATAAAGTTGCTAAAAACACCTGGAGGGTCTTCACTGAACCTAGCTGGGATCAGCTTCAGAGCACTCAATGACCATCATTGTGTTCCTTCCACATCCTGGGGTAACATATGGACCAGCCATGTGGGATTGCAGCAAGGGGCTCTTGTACCCAAAGTTAGGGGTGTCAAGGCAGCTTTAATTGTGTCAGGTGTAGAGGAAGTGGCCCTGCTACCCTTGTAGCTCTAATACTGTTTGTGAAGCTATTTCTGCGGGATTGAACCAATAATTTAAAATATTGTAGAGCCTTGTGTGTGCTCTGATGACATTTTTAATGGGCACTGCTGAACGGTGGGTGAGGATCAGCAGCTTTTACAGGAAAAAGGAAATGGTAATAAACATTCCACATGTAGAGTTGAGGTGAACGCTGTTGTGTGCACACTGAAAATCAGGGAATTAATATCATGCTCCTAAATGGTAAATGATAAATGATAAAATGATGTTATCAGAGGGTTGTAGGGAGATGTGATTACCAAAACATAGAGTGCTGTGTTTGTTCCTTGGTGTGCTAAGCCCTTTGTCTTCACTTTTCAGAGGCCTCAGACGCACCTATTGTGATACAGCCAGCATCAGCCACAGAGACAACCCAGCTCACAGCTGACTCTCACCCCAGCTACCACACTGATGGATTTAATTAAGTTAAGGAAACACTGATATTAGAATGGATAAAAAAAAAAATACATGGCCAACTCAACACTAGAATCATGAACATTAGAAGTAGAGAATGGGGAGGGGGAATAATTCTGCCACAGTAAGAGGGCAGCTTTCCAACCTGCCGAAAATATTTTGTAATCCCTTCAGCCTTTTGTCACCTTTCAGTGTCGTATCTCGACGATACGTGAAGTGCTGTAGCATGCAGTATTTAAAGCAGTTTAGCTACGGTCTTATTTGTTTCCTTTCTTTTGTTTTTTTTTTTTCTCCTGTTTTGTTTTGCTTTTTGTTTTTTTTATAGCATGTATGGAGTTATGTTAAATGTCTGTGGTGTAATGTATTGAGTTGTCACAATATCAGTGCGGTGGAGACATTCTGCATTTTAAGCAGCAGTACTGGCCTAAAAATGAGATTTAAAAAGTGTCACAGAAGCCACTGTTCTTCTGTACAGCTGAGCTGTTGAAGACCTTTAGAAGTTGAGGATTTTCATTTGAGTGCAACAAACCAATTCTTTCATTCCTCCTTCTATTCCTGCATTATTATCTAAGCAAGTTTACAAAGCCAAGAACCAAAAAATGCCAGTCCTGCAGAGCTGGAGTCCTCTCTAATGCTGGTTTTCAGCTTAAATAAATCTACCTTGAAAAATAAAAAGGGAGAGTTGCCAATCTTTGAACAGTAAATTGAACAGCTCGTTGTGTATGAGGCGATCTCCAGTGACAATGGAACCAAAACCAACTGGGAATGGGCTCCTGTGGTGGTGGCAGTGGGATTTTAACTCCAAGCACAATTCTGTTTTGATTTGAGTTCCGTTGTTTTCCTGTAATGCTAAAGACCAAATAGTGCAGCTTTGTTTCTGAATGCATGAGAATCTTAAAGTGAAACTGGTTAACTGGCTCTCACTGAGCAAATGGTAAAATGCAGACAGTAGGCAACAGCAGAAATGTTTAAAAACAATTGATGTTTAAAAATTTGTTCTAATAATTTGAGACTTTAATAGGCAAATGGAGTATTACATATCTTTTTTAAAAGCTTTTATAATACACTAACCCTTTAATTTAATGAACATCTTTGTGGAGTACTTAAATGGGTTTTAAAGAACAAACCACCATTCTTTGTGTTTATATTGTATAATTTGCACATTGTCTTGCATTTAGATTTGTTTACACCATTGTTTCTCTTTTCTTTGGAACAACTATGTGGAAACCACTGAAAGGTTTCCTGTACTATTTTGAAACCAAATCAAGTCCGAATTCTGTTCTAGAAACTGTGGTTTACTGAAGTTTAACTGTTAAAAAGGCATTTTAGGCAGCTGCTGAATTACTGGTGTATATTGTTGTCAATAGTCCTGTTTAGGTGATCCAGAGTCAGATCTAGAACAGCTCCAGAAAACCCACACTTGGCACTTTCAGTGGGTAATTACGGCCTCGTTAATTTGAATGGTTACGCTTTTATATCACAATGCCTCTACTGTCCCTTGTACCCCCATCCCCCTGATCTGTTTTCCCCTCTTCCTGTGAAGGGGCTGTTGGCACCTTCCCCCCGTGTCTGCTGCTCCCTCACCAGCTCCAGGTGGTGCTTTGAAGCAGGGTAAAGATCCCCTGGTCTGCACAAAGACTGCCAGGAAAGGGCAGCGACCCAGAGAACTATTCTGAATATATTTTCCTGCTGTCTTTGCATGAGCAACATGAAATCTGCCATGAAACCATGTTAAAGGTGCTGGCTAGGAGAACATGTTCTCCCCAAGGTCTCAGTGCTCAGTGAGGAGTGTTTGCACACCCAGACTTTGCTGTGGCTGTTGGTACAAGCACATATTTGCCTGCATGGGAGCTTGCTGCAGATCAGCATGATTTTAGTACCATATCCAGCCCCCAAAATTCCCCAAAAAATCTGTTCCTTTTAATTAATGGCTCAATTTCAGCAGCACACTCCTTAAGTCATTTCTTCTTTGCCCATAGTCCTTACAGACCTGAAATGTGGTGGTTTAGTGCAAGATACTTTTATCTTTTCCTGACTTGGATGGCCTTGAGGACATTTGTGTATGATTTGGCTTGAGGTCCTTATTTAGTTAATGTTTTTTTTGACCCCTTGGAACAAAAAGCCATTTTTAGGCTTGAACCCAATATAATTTTGTCTGTCCCAGTAGATTTTCCCTGAAGCCTGTTCTTGATGTAAAATTGCACTCTGGAATATGGTGGGGCATGTGCAGACTTTGTCCTCTCCACATTCACTGGTTAAAATTGCCTGTATCTGCAAATTGTGTTCTTAGTAAAAAAAAAAAAAAAGGTATTGAGGTTTTTTGGCTTTGTAAATGAGTGTGGCTGATCAGGTCAAGTCAGTGAATGAGGGAGGGGCTCTTCCCTGGGAGCTGTTCCATTCCCTGTCCCTGTGTTCATCTCAGTGGATAATACAGAGATGGTTGTTGGGTGTTGCTCTGCTGCAGAGCAGCTTTGCCCCCAATGCTGGGGGCTGGTTGTCACTGTTAATCTGGAATAATGCTCTTATTTCTTACCCTCTCTGGGCTGTTTCCAAAGAAGTAGAGAGGCTGGTGGGAAGTTGTGGCTCCAGGGAGGTGTGTGACACACCTGGAGTCACTCTGCAGGCTCCTGATAAGGGAACTGAAGTGTGGGCAGCACATGAGGACCAGAGGCAGAACAGTTATCTGTGGGGAAAGATGACATCCAGGATAAGTTTGCAGTTTTAGATCTTTGCTTAGCAAGGGATGAGTTTGGAGAGAGACTGCTTTCCTCTTGGTTCTGTCTGTGGGTGGTGTGTGAACAGGAAATTACTCTGTTACATGCCAGAGTGATGTTAGATGCTCCAAGGGAAACCGTTCCGAGATCTCACTTAGAGGGAATGATGGGAAAACATAATTCTAGAGGAATATTCATGTTTTTGGAAGCTCTTTCAAGTTTGCCCATGTTACTGCTTAATCTCTGAGTTTGGGATCGTTGTGTATTAGTGAAGTTCTTCTTGAACTATGTAAGGAAGTGATTTAAACATTCCTTCTTTGAAGCCAAAACCGTGTCATGGCACATAGGTACATTAATGCCCACTTTTCCCCTCTTGGAGGGAAGGTGCAAGGGTACCCTGGGCTCTAACACGAGTTGCACTTCATAATGGCCAAGTAGAATCCTAGTAAATGCAAAGTTGGGAATAATGGTTTAAATCTGGCAGAGAAGCTCAGGAATTCTGAGCTTGGGCAAGGGGAGTTGCAGCATCCCAGTGCTGCAGCCTGACCTGGCTTAGTGCAGAATGTTTCCCTCCAAAATCAAACCTTACCACTGTCCATCTCAGTCCAGTGTTTTGCCAGAATTAAAACTTGAGCTTGGATTTTATTTATTTCTTTGTTTCTTTAAAGTTGTATCATTTGTACAAGTTGCCTGAGTCCTCCATTCCAGTTGTTCGGCCGCCTCCATCCAGCTCCTCCAACCTCTCCAGCACTGATTTCCTTAGCACTTGTAGCTAAGGGCGAATCCCAGCTGGAGAGTTTGGTGTTCAGGATACTGATTTATCCCTGTGTTGCATGGAGAGCCCTTCCTAGCTTAGGTGAGGAGGGAAAGCTGCTGCTGAGAGCACTCAGGCGCCAGCTGTCCCTCCTGGCTTATGGAGCTGCTGGAAAAGGAGGTGCTGGATCTGTCCTGCCCATCCTCCCTAGGGATGGGAACATCCTAAACGCACTGTACTGAAGGGGCATTGCACCCCTTAAATGCCAGTCTCATTTTGTTAGTGATATTTGTAGGAAATTCTTAAATATTTATCTGTATATAAATTTATGTAAGACCTCGTGGCATCCCATAGGGTGTCGGTTTTTGCTGGTCCCATGCAGTGATGTTTTAGAGCCATGTTCCCTTTTTAGTCTTCTTTTTAGATTTGTAGTCTTTTAAAACTGCTTTAGATATTAGCACTCCTAGTGTTCTTAAAGTGGGATCCTCTTGGAGGTTTGGAGGGGCAGAACAGAGGAGGAGGGCTTGGGCATGGCACAGAAACACTCAGTCCTGCAGCAAGGCTGTGGTTGGGGGAGTGCAGCTCTCCAAACTCTTCCTGTCAGCCTGTAAACACCTCACACAGGTGTAACCAGGGCAGGAGCCTGACAGAAAAACTATTCCTGTCCCATCTGTGAGGCAGTTTAGTGGTGTGGGAGGGACACCTGTGCACTCTGAGGGGCTGCTCCAGAGCATTTGTACCACGCACGCTCCTTGAGAGAGGCACCTGCTTCTCTCAACTACTTTGTGCCCTTCCTCTGGTGCCCTTTGATCTTTTTGCCAAGTTCTGGATAATATAGGAAATTTATGCTGCAGTTTTTTTTGTACCCAGTGCACCTGTATCTTGGCATCATGTTTAACAGGTCACTCTGGCAGGGTGGTCTGGGCAGTTTGCAGTCCCCACCTCGTGTCAGTAATTCCGAATGGTGTTTAAATGCATTAATCTTGGAGCACTGAACCCCCAGTTATAGTTTATAGTGTCAGGTCAATATAAACTTCACATGCTTCAGCATCTGGTGCTGCTTCTCTGTATTCTAGTGGAGATCATCTAGTTTGTAGTGTCTCATTGCACCAACAGCTGCTTAAAATCTCTCGAAAGAATCGTAGCCAGTAGCTCACCAGGTGGCAGGAAATTTGTCAGTGTTCAGCTCCCGCAAGATCCATGGTCCCCTCCACGAGCTGCCTTTGGAGGCTTTCTGGGACTGTCTGGGACTCAGCAAGACTGCAATTCCTGTGTTCTTCCAAGAAGACACTTCCTTTACGAGGAGAAACCGCGGGAGGGAAGCTGGCTGTCTGATGTTTGCACAAGCCAAATGCCAGAAATCTGGAAGATGAACTTTCATTATGCCAATGTTACATGCACAGTTCATTTTGGTGTTAAAAGGATAGATGCTGGGAATTTCTAGTGGTTATATATATATATGTATGTATATGTATAGAGGAAGCTCTTATATAAACTGGCTGTTCATTCCCGAGTGCCGTTGTCTTCTCTGCTCCCTCTCCCAGCCCTGTGGGTGTTCTCTTGCAGTCTGTGAGCGGTTGCTTGTCAAACCATTCCAAAAATTGAACAATCTACTTGAATTCCATGAGCTGCCCCTTGTCCCAGCTCCTCTGGATGGAACAGAGCTCTGCCTGCTCCAGCTTTCCTTAGGAGGAGAGGAGGGAGAGCTGGCAGAGGGCACAGAGGCAGCTCTGGAGTGACTGGAACTTCTGCAACTGGCACATGGGGTGTTTAGATGTGGTTAATGTGCTCATCACTGAAGCTGTGATAGAACACATGGATTTGGGGTTTTTCCCTAGTTTTCACCACATTGGACTCCCCAAAATGGGGCTGGGTGAGCTCACAGAGCAAGGTCCACCCCGTGCTGAGGGCGTGGGCTGCAGCATCACGTGTGTGTATGTATGTATATATGCACATATGTATATATTTATACAACAGGTGTGCACCTTGGGTTTTTCTTTGGTGGTAAAAACGTGAGATTTGGCTCCAAGTAGTGCTCTGAACTCAGCCAGACAGGGGGAAGGTGTGAGTTTTGTGTGGCCACAAATTTGTGCTTCTTTGCTCTCAGCTGCAGGAAAACCCAAACCCGACCTGTGGGGTTGAGGGACTGGTGAGGACGTGGTGAAGGAGCCTGTTGTATAAATAAATGGGTCCTAGGAGCAGGAGAAGATGCTTCTCCTGCTCCCCACACCCTGCTCGGGGAGTTCCCAATGAGCAGCATGGGGTTTGCATGGCCAGGTGCTGTCCCTCCTCTTGCAGGTGGGTTCCATAAGGACTTGGAGTTACTGAAATTCCTACTCCTGAGGCTGGCAGTGATCCATGTGAAGGCACAATGGTTGTGGCTGATGCACATGTGAGTCCCACCATGTCCCCTCTAGCCATGCTGGATAGAGTCACCATCGCCCTCCTCCTCCTCAGGCTGTTCCTGCCAGGGGCTGTTCCTGACATGCAGCACACCAGGGGTTCCTTCATGGCAGAAATGGGGGAATATTGGGGAGATTTTTACTGCTGGCACCACTGAAGTTCTGTTTGTGACCATCACGATTGATGAACTCCAGGTTTGCCAATTCCAAACGTGCTGTTTCCATGCTGGATGCTGAGCTGATCGCTGTCATTCCTTCCTCCCTCTCATCCCACCGTTGCCTGCCTTGCTGGGGCGGGGTGTGGATGGGTTGGTTGGTGTCACTGCTGACATCCCAGGCGGTTTATGTTCATTTTGCATGTGAGCAAGGCCCTGAACTGTGTAATTCCTCATGGGGTTTGGTTTCCTGGCCCCTTTATGGAGCCAGAGGGAGCTGAGGATGCCGGGAGAGACTCGCCTGCATTTGCACTGCACTTCAACTCGGGCGGGGGTGGGGGATAGAGGGAGCCCATCTTTAAAAAAAGAAAAAAAAATAGTAAAAAAAACCCCAAACCAAACCCACCACAATCGAAGTATAAATGCATCTGAGAAGCAATTATAATATAGACATATATCTATTTTGTTATGTTACTAAAGGACCATACTTTGAGTTGTCTGTAAGTAGACGTGGCTGTCTGAACTTCGTGGATTGTAACACTCGATACTACTGAGCTCCTGTACATACCCGCGGCGACGGCAGAAGGAATTATTTTCTGTTTTAGCATGGTAATTTGTGTCTTGTATGTCCGAATATAAACTAAAATAAAGATTGCTAAGTTATCGGAAACCACTGTTGTAAAATAAATGTTTTCAATGCAGAAATGCCCATCCGATTTTTCTTTGTTTATTTGCGCAAGAGGGAGGGGCTGTGGGACGGGGTGGGGCTGGCTGGGAAGTGGGAGGTGGGAGAGGTCACCCATCCCTGGGATGGGCACTGGGTGCAGGGTCTCTGGGGCAGGAACTGTAGCCACTCCCCTGTACCCCTCCTGTACCCACCGTGGGGTCTGAGCTGGTTTGGAGCATGGAAGTCCAAAGATCTTCCTTTATATGATGCTGGACCCTGGCAGGTATTTGGGGTACAAATGCAGGTTAGAGTTGGTGGGGTGGGAATTGTATGCAGGGTGGAGGGAGGCAACAGGAGCTGTCCCTGCAGTAAAAACAGCCTTTTCTGGAGAAACTCAGGTTATTGACACTGGGTTTGCTCCTGCTGTTGCTGATGGAGAGAACCAAGATGAGTGGAAGATGTGCTGAAGGAGCTACGAGACTGATCCAAGCCAAGGTGGGGACCAAGGCAGCACAAATCTGTCTTGCTCCCAAGCCTGTGGTGACTGTGGGGCTGTCCCTGCTGCAGGTGCCACCAGCGCTGTTCTGACCTGGGATTGTTCATTTTGGAAAGGTTCTGCATTTGATGGAGGCGAGCATAAAATTGGGGTTTAACTTGAGGTTGTCAGGTTGGACAGGGCTTTAAGCAGCCTGACCTAGAGGGAGGTGTCCCTGCCCATGGCCCATGTTGCCCTGGCAACACCAAAAGCTGCTGGGACCGAGCAGCCCCTCAGGAGAGGCAGGAATGGAGTGCAGGATCAGGCCAGGTTGGGTTCAAAGCTGAGACCGAGCCACTCAACTCAGGCACATGCTCCTCACCACTTCCCTGCACTCCTGTCTTATCACAGTCTGATCTTTACCGTGATTTCTGTCCCAACCCCACAAGTCTCTGCTCCCTCACTGTCCCCTCTCTGATGTCCCCAGGGTGCCAGAGGTCCTGTCCAGCCCTGTGCCCACCCCAGTCACTCACCCAAGCCTGGGATGGCCAAGCTGGCCTGGGGGAAGGTTATTGACCCTTTCCCTGGTCTGCAGAGTGCAGGGCCCTGGGACAATTTTCCTCCTTCCACCACGACTGTCAGTGCCTGGGAGCCTTCCCAAACCCAGCTCAGCCCCGTCAAGCCTGGCAGTGGACTGTGCACAGCCTGGGGTGGGAATGGCTGCTCCAAGCTTGGGGCTGTGATTGCAGGAGTGGGACTGAGCTGAGGGGGGGCTCCATGCCCCAGAGAGGACACAGCTTGGAAGGGAGGGGGCCTCTGGGGGGGCTGCAATGCCCTTGCTGCCAATATCTTACACAGATGCTCACCTTCCTCCAAGAACCGCCAAGATCAAGCGTCACTAAACCTTGTCCCAAATCCCCAGCTGTGACACAAAAAGGTGCAGACTTGCTGTGAAGTTGGGAAGCAGCAGCTTTTGGAGCCATTCGCAGGGGTACTGGAGAAGCCCTGGCTGGGTCTCAGGGTGCAGCTTCCAGCCGGGGTTGCACTACCTGCATCATTCAGAGCTCTTTATGGAGATATTTTTTCTCACCCAAGGAAGCATCTGGGATTGCTCTGGTGTTTTTGGGGAGACCTGGATCAGGTCCACAGGTTTATGAGAGCAGGAAAGCATGACAGCAGCAGGGCAGGTACGACTGTGACTTTAATGCACAACAGTGACACGCGGGACGCAGTGACAGCAACACTGCCAGGCAAGCTGGGGACTCCCGGGGCACGGCTGCAGCCCACAGCATCCCCCCCGTTCTCTGCTCCGCTGTGGTGTCTTGTTACGGGGTCGGTCTCCTTCATTCCCCCACCTCCAGCGACCCTCCCTCATTTCCCTATACTCTGCAGCAAGAGCTTATTGCTGAGCGCCTTCTGGGCCAGTCTCTCCTCCCGGGACATTTCCAGGAACTCGCGCAGGAGGTGGAAGGTGAGATCCAGCGAGTTGGGTTTTCCGTCTCGCCTCTTGCCGGTTTGCAGCGCCCGCCGGGCTCGGGGGGCCGGGGCGAGCTCTGCCCCGTGGAACAGGCACAGTCTTTGGGGCAGGGCATCGGTGGCGGGGACCGGAGCTCTCGGGGCTCCCATCCAGGGCTCCCAGGTGAGCTGGGGGGCCAGGGTCAGCCTGCGGGACGGACCCCGGGGCCACTGCAGCGGGGAGCAGGTCTCCGAGGGCAGGAAGAGCAGGACGAGGACGGAGGCAGCTGAAATCATCCTGACCCGCATCGCAGCCACTCCGGGGCCAGAAGCCTGCAAGAGCAGCCCCCCCCCACCCCGGACCCCCACATCCCCCCCGCTGCGGTCAGGGGTCACTCGAGGGGCTTCACCCCGTTGGGGACCCCCTCCCCAGGGATGAAATCCCCTGGAGATGAAACCCCCCGGGACGGTATCCCTACCCTCGCCGATGGGAATCCCACCCCCCGTCCCCGGGACAGGACCTTTCTGGGGACGGGACCCTCCGTGGGCTGGGATCCCCCCCCACCCCCGGGATGGGGCTCCCCCCGAGCATGAGACACCCTCGGCAGCCGGGACGGGACCCTCCAGGACCTGGGACCCTCACGAGGGGACACCCCTGCACCCGGGACAGGACCCTCCCTCCTCCCCCCGGGACCAGGCGCCCCCAAGCTCGGGATCCCCCTCCTTGTGCCGGGGGTGGCGGTGGCCGTCCCGGTCCCCGTGCGCGTCTCACCGCTCTCGGGCGCTCCGCCGGCTCCGCGCCTCCCGCAGGACGCGCGCTCCGGCCCCGCGCTTTATACGGGCGGGGGAGCCACGTGATGGGAGCGGGGCCGAGATCTGTCCGCGGTGCTGAACGGGGGGAGAGCGGGGGGACACGGCCGGGAGGGGACAGGCGGGGGGGACATGGGAGGGGGAGAGCCTGGCAGGGGGGGTTCATGGGCATGTGGGTCCGGGGGTACGTGGGGTGAGGCCGGGGGAGTGTTTTGGGGGCTGTGGGGGTGTGGGGCGTGCGGGGGTGTGTGTGCAAGCGGGCACAAATGTGTTCAGGGGCGTTTCTCGGTGTGTTGGAGAGGTGAGGGGGAGCTGAGGGTGTGGGAGGGGTGTGAGGTGAGTGTGAGTTCATGAGTGTGCACCACAGACCCTCTGTGTGTGACGGGGAGCTGGGGCCCGCCAGCCAAGCCCCGCACTCCCCCATTGCTCCGGGTGCTGCTCCTGGGCACCGCATGGAGCCCCCGCTTCTCTCGGGGCCAGATGTGCCCATGGCAGACGGGCACACCGGGCACACACCTGTGTGCGGGCTTGGCCCCGAGCTCTGCAGCGTTTCACGTCGCAGGGAAAGTTTTCCCGGTGGCTCCTTCGGCGGCTGTTTGGTGAAGGCAGCCCCGGCTCCTCCCAGTGATCCCTCTGCTGCTATCACACAGATGAAAACTTCACTGCAGAAGCAAAATGCGCTTCTGGAGCACAATTTGACACAGCACAAAGACATGTTCTTCTCCCGGCCTGATCCTAGCACAGACACACACCTGGGGGTGCATCCTGGGATCCACGGGAGGGATTCATTTGCCTTTCCCTGCCTCCCTGCCGGAGCCTCCATTGCCTGCCCCTCAGAGCTCAGCAATTGCTTCCTTCACCTTGCAGAAGCACTGCCGTCTCTAAAATTAAAATTCCCTCCTGAGGAACAAACTTAAGAGAAGGGGAAAAAGCAAACCAGCCCACATTATGTAGAACTTGGATGAATGGCAAGAACCCCTCCCATCCTCCTCCGTGGCAAGAACCACATGGAAAACAAGGGCTCTGCAGAGTTCTGAGGGTCACAGCAAAGGGCTCAAGAGGTCTGTGGGGGTGGTAAGCCAGGGGGGCCCTCACCCCCCCACCCCCCAGCTGCAGAATAACTCCCAGCAGCAGCAGAGCAAGCACTGGGTGGGCAGGAAGGGGGAGCAGCTGCCTCCTGCTGGCTTTGTGAGCTTTTAAAGTCCTTTTCTTCGCTGAATCATCGAGATCCTCTCTCATTTCCAGTGCTTCGCCTGAGGCTGCTTTTCTCCCTGTGCCCCATGCCTGACCCCGTGTTGTCCCCTACCCCGTTACCAGTGCTGGGCCTGGCCCTGCTGCATTGCCAGGAATGCTGCCTGCAGCTCCCAGGGCATCCCCACACCTGCTGGGGGCTCAGGGCAATGAGACCCCAAAATCCCATCAGGAGATGAAAGCAGCTCCAGCAGAGACTGGATTCCAGCATGGGGAATGGAGTTGCCTCCCCTGTGCTGCCTGGCTGCTCATGGGGCCTCCCAGCATGATTTTAAATCTTCTTGAAGTCATGCTAAGACTTGGCGGGTCCAGGGGGTCCAGCTCAGCAATTTTGTCTCCTCCCCTGCATGTGGGGTTGGGCTGTCTCTGAAAAATTCTTCCTAGCCCATCTCCTGGAGGGGCCAGGGGCTGCAGTAGGGAGAGATGCAGCAGGAGGGGCTGTGCCCAGAGCATCACTCAGGAGGCTCTGGGGGCCACCTTGTCTCAGAAGAGTGAGCCCGTGGCTCTGGGCAGAGATTTCCGCTCCTGCACCGCCACAGGCACGGCCAGGAGCAGGCGCAGAGAGAGGCAGCTCAGCCCAGCCCCTGCCCCCGTGGCCTGCTCTGTGGCTGGTCATGTTTTACACCATTTACCTTTAGCATTAGTCATTGAATTGTAGCAGAGACAATGACTCTGACAAGTGTATCTTGGACTTGTGTTTTATTTAGGAAGCTCAACTTGAAAAATTAAAAGTACCCTTTTTTTCTCTGCTCCCTTCATAAATTACTGACAAATCCAGCGCTGATGGGCCCTGTGCCCTGCCTGGGGATTCATTATCGTCACTTTTAGGGCTGTCACTCTCTCCTCCTCTAGTCAGGAATGTGAGGAGCGGAGTGTTAATGATGCTTTCAGGGATGCCAAACTTACCCCTGGGCTGCGCTGGCTGCACACAGAGGCACAGATCCGGGAGGGAGTCGGAGAGGTTCCTAATTAGGTGCTTTTGATGCTCGGAGCCTCCTGTCACATGAGCAGCAGCTCGCACGCGGCAGCGGCTGCATCGCCGGCCCTGGCAGCTCCAGCACTGAGGTGTGGCCGAGCTTCCAGCAGCTTCTCCTGAGGGACAGGTGGCATTTGCCAGCCACTTTCCTCCCTTTGGGGCTCACACTCACTTTGGTCCTTGCCCAGCCTCACAAAGAGCCGTGCCAGGGTGCAGACGAAGCTCTGGCGTCTCCCTGCTGTGTTTCTCCATGAGCTGGGTGGAGGTGGCAGCCGTGGGGCTGGTGGGGGTCAGTGCTGCCCGTCCTGCTCTGGAGAAGGCATCTCATGGGCTGACGAACCTGAGATTGACCCTGATGTTTCACCATTCTCAGGTTAGACAGTCCTCGAGGTGCCCCTCGCTGGGGCAGCTGCCGAACCCCCTGCCCTGTGCCTCGTGCCTCACACCGTGTGCTTGCCCAGGTCTCCCAACCTCTGAAGAATTTGGAGACAACAAAGAAGCAACCCCTTGGCTCTGTTTGTATGGTGGGGTTGCCTGTGGGACCCACCCAAACATCCTCACATTGCCCTGCATGCTCCCAGGGAATCAAGGAATCTCAGAACCATTCAGGCCCTCTGAGATCACCAAGCCCAACCATTCCCTCAGCATGGCCAAAAACATCACTAAACCATGTCCCCAAAGGCCACAGCCACACTTTTAAATCCTTTCAGAGATGGTGACCCCACTACTGCCCTGTGCAGCCTGATCCAGTGCTGGACAACTGTTTTGGTGAAGAAATTTTCCCTAATATCCAACGCAAACCCTTCCCAGGTGCAATTGGAGGTTGTTTCCTCTCATCCTGTCACTTGTTACTTGGAGAAGGGACCACCCCACCTGACTACACCCTCCTTTCAGGGAGTTGAAGGAAAAATGAATATTAAAAGCTTATTAAAAGCTTATCAATCTAAATGAATGAACTTAGTGTGAAACTGAAAGGAAGTGTTTTCCCACTGACAAGCTCCGTGCAAGAAGTGAGCGAGCCTGGAAAGCTGTCACAAAAATCACAGTGAAAGGAATCTGTAACCTGTTTTCAGCTCCTTTCTGGATTTCTTACTTTGGGTCCAAACAACCTCCCACTTCTGTGGTGGGGACTGAGCCAGATGCAGCTCCGAGTACTCCACACACAGCCAAGACTATTCAATAGGGGGACTCTGGATTTCCTTCAGAGAAAAGGAAGAAAAATCTTTCTGACAGGAGCAAGGGAACTGCAGAACCGCTGCCCAGCTTTACCTTCTCTGGTACCTCCATTGGAAATCTGAGCAGCTTTGGGGGATTTTAAAGTTTGTCCTATGTGCTTGCAAAGATGAAAAAGAAGAGGTAAAAGCCAATTAGAATTAGTTTTTTCCAAGGAAGGTGAAGTTTTAGTAAGTTTCGTACAGAGAATAAAGTATGGCAGAATCCTCTCAATTGGCCCCAAGAAAAGTGGAAAATACTTCCAAAAATAGTCAGGAATCATTTGCAGAAGGAATAAAAAGAGGGTGCAGGGCACTGCCTGCCTTACCTGTGAACCCAGGACCAGGTCCCCTGCACCGCTGGCAGCCCTGGCCCCTCTGGCCTGCTCTCCTCCCCCTGCCACCCCCATGCTGTCTTTTATAGCCTTTCTTGTCCCCCAGCTGAGCTGAGCTGGGCCACAGCGAGCTGCCACGCTCTCTGCTGGCTTCCTGTTTGCTCATCGAGCGCCTGCGGTAAAATTTCCATTACACGCTGGACAGGCAGGGTGGCAGAGAGCAGTGAGGCAAGAAATGGAACCCCAACACGTATCTGTGTTTCAGTGGTTCCCTCAACTCTTTTGAAAATGAGAAAGTTCTGTTAGATGGAGGCAGAGGTGAAAAGGGGTGTCCTGGCTCTGTGGGAACTGAAAGCCATCCTGCAGTCTCGGTCCAGCTGCTCTGGGTTCCCCCTCCCTGCCCCCAAGGGGATAGAGAAGTTCTGCTCCTCAGTTCAGCAAGAAGATCTGCCTTCCCACCCTCCACCCCAAAAAAGTGCTTCCCAAATGCTGCCTCACTGAATGGAGCCACAAGACAAAGCTCTGTCCTGCTCTGACCAGAGGTTGTGGGGCTCTCTGCGTCCCCCTTCACTCTGTCTCAGCCAGCAGATCCTCCAGCGATGCATAACCCGAGAGGAAAGATCTGGATGAGACAATTAATTTCAATCTTTCATTTATCCCCAGTGTGCAGAAGAACCATTTTGGCTGTAAAATAGAGGAGGCCAAAGGGAAAAGAAGAAAACTGCCTGCCATGAAAATATGGAACCTGTCAAAGGATCCACGCCCATCTGGAACAGTGTCTCTTGGTCTGGAGGGGAAAGACTCCATGGATGGAATGAGATGAGCTTTAAAGTCCCTTCCAGCTCCTTGTGGGAGTCTATAATTCAACAAACATAAACTGAAAATTCACTGCAATCAGCAGGGACATCTTCCACTATCCCAGGTTGCTCCAAGCCCCACCCAACCTGGCCGTGAACACTTCCAGTTATGGGGCAGCCACAGCTTCTCTGGGCAGCCTGTGCCAGGGCCTTGCCACTGTGACAAGGAGGAATTTCTTCCCAATGTCCAATCTAACCCTGCCCTCTGTCAGTTTGGAGCCATTCTCACTTGGTCCTGTCGTCTCATGCCCTTGTTCAAAGGCACTGAGGTCAAATGAAGACTTTTAAATATCTTTGATGTTTCTGGATGTCTCTGTGAGTGAGTTTGGCCAAGGATCACTCTAAGCAGCAGATGGCTTAGATGAGTTTGATTTAAGGGGCTGCTGAAAAAGTTTCCAGTGGCACCAGGCAGACACTTTCATGTGTGGCCCGTCGGATATATCGGTTGATCTCTGTGCACAACACTGCTTGTTCAACAGCTTCAAAATGCCCCATTTTTTACCACTGTTTCAATATCGACTTCTGAAAACCGCCTCTGCTAA